GGAAGGTTCTGATGAAAGAACTTGTTTTTCTGCGTGGTGTAGTGTTTAAGTGGATCGTTGACCTCAAAAATCGAGAAGCCGCTTTGTCATGTAATTAAATTCAAGCGCATTAGCTACTCCTATGAGATTATGAATCGCGAGAATTCAATGGCTGTTGACTTGCGATCCTATGCAAAAAAGGTAAACGAGGCCCAAAGAGTGCATGACGATAGCAATTGCCCAACAATTATAAATCTTTTTAGCCATAATTTCAGGAAGGGCTTCTAAATGATGCTGTTTGAGCATAAAACGAAAAGCAAGGATATGTAGAGGTGGAAGAATTTAGCTTATACATTTATATTTAGTCGGCTTAAAGTCTTAAAATGAACATGAGCCACCGCGATTCGTTGTATGGAACAAACTGCTTTCGAAACTCGTTGTGTTTCTGAGTGAAAGCAGAGTACGTGGCGCAAACCTAATAGTAATTAAATAATGTCGATTACTCTACCAGTTACTCCTCTAGTTCTCGCAAAACCATTTCCTGTATCTGCATGTGATTGCCATGACTTCACGCTTTTGATGGCAGATAGGAGAGGTCCATCCATTAAATGCAGGCAGGTCCAATGGGGGGTTTGACCTGCATTTAATGTATAAAACTTTTCCCTTTTTCTCAGATTCCTCGACCTGGTGCTCTGTGAGATAAAAGAGCACCACGTGACAATCAGCTTAGCTTTTAAGGAGTAAAATCCAAGTGTATGACCACACTTCCCTAATAATGGGAACAGGAATACGGTGCTCGCAAATGAATTGATCTTTCCTGGATGTTTTGTCGCAGCAGCCAAGGCGTAGGAATGAAATTACTGAGGGTAGGAGCAAATACCACAGAATATCTTCCAGGAAATCCGACAATTCTAAAAGGTAAAAGGTTAACAGAAGTTCCCGAGCGAGAGGAGAAACAGTGATCCCGCTTACTATCAAAGAGCAGCAAGGCAAATCGAGCGGTGCTGCGTAGTGCTGATTCTGCCTAGTCTCACATTGCATAAAACACTAATAAGAAAACAGATCATATTTGCTGAGTCAGTTCATTGTCTTGCTTTGCAGAGGAGGCGTCGAAAACGAAGAAAAAAGTCTTCAACGCTAAGGAGGCAAAAGAGATTGCTGAAAAAATCATCAAGCAGGAGCTTAATCGTGCCAAAGTTGCCAAGTATGGCAAATCTGCTGGCACAGTACAAGAGGTTTGTCCGTTTATTTTTTCCTCATAGAATTTTCATGTAACAAAACTATCCTCGCTTCCTCGGTTGTGGATAATAATGGAAAGAATCCAAGGTAAGGTCTTATGCTAAAGGGTTTGCAAAATTAACACACTGGCCACAATATCGTCCGAAGCTGGGCGACACCCCAAGTATAGGGTTCGTGTGCGCAGATTTCAGATTTGTGGCAATAGTATATGATCAAGAGTACAGTATGGTGAACACGATTTTTGCATAAATACCACTGCTGTCGTTTCACTGTGGAGATTTTCGGATGTTGACACTTGGGAACCCATTCACCCCACATGTGGACTGCGGTCCCTCGATCGTGTAGCACCTTACAACCCACATTTCGAGAAAAATATCAAGTTTTCCTCTTGCTTTTCTTTCTGTCTAATTCAATAAGATTTCTTCTGCTTACACAGTCGGTTTTTCTTCCCAATTTACTTGGTAAGATCCCTGAATTCCCTTTTGCTGAAGTCCTAATCGTCCGCAAAATCTAAAACACGCGCGGTCTCCGTATTAAAAGTTTTTCTTTCGAGTGAGGTTTGTAGGGCATGTTGCTCCCTATGTGTGAAGCTGGTTTTTGCTTGCAATGCTAGCTGCTAGAATTCTCGTAAAGGTCTGAATTCAACCCCATCAAGGATTTTGGAATGGAGAGTTGAAATTTTTCGATGTTGTCCCAGAGTTCCTCCTTTACTGGGCGAACGGGTTTTCGCTTTGCTTGATGGCGGTAAATAATCATAAGTAATAAATGGTAATTGAGGGCAAAAGAAATATTATCAATTTCCGCCTGGGATTCTAATTATTTTGGCATATTGTTCCCCGAATTAGGATGTGTTTTTTTGGAGACACTGAAAAATCGTGTGGGCGCCAATGCGTGCAAAGAGGGCACCCAAATTCTAATTTTCTATTGTTTGCTCTTTTGCACCAAGTTTCGTGGTGCAGGAGATAAAGGGAGCCGCGATAGTGATGTTGGGACGTAATATTTACTATTCTTGCGAAGTGGAGAAATAGCAAGATTTCCTGGCTTTTGAATCTCCTTGAAACTCGTAGAGTCGCGCATCACAAGATTGTAAGGCATAGCGGATGAGATGATTCTGGAACAGGTCAGCAATAAAAATCCAAATTCTCGGACGTCATTTTCCTGCGCAAAGGAGACAGGCGTGAATGAATCGCTCGTCACCTGGGGTCTACCGGGAAAGCGTTCAAGCAGACGGTCATTGGATCATGCAATTCTCTACCCCTGATAGCCTCGGACAGACGATGTTCAGAGAAATGGATCTTTGCATTCCTGAACCTTCATGCGCAAACTATCTGGCGTCGAAGTAAAACGGATCTCCGTGTCATAAAATTTTGCCGAAAAGTCGACTCAACGATGCTATAACCAATGCGGGAGTTACACTATGGAGTTGATCGTTTTCGTTAAAGTAAAAAGATTTAACCATCTTGGAGGCTGTTGTCCCTTTCGTTTCGGCGCGGTGTGTGAAGCTGCGATGGAACGAGATCTGATTGACAGCATGACGCTAACAAGTTGGCTATTAATCAGATCGAATTGGAAACGGAACGAAGATAGCATCGAGAGGTGTCTAATCTGACGCCTTAACTGGTTTGCTGTTCACTGTGTGGGGATACTAGACGCATCGCCTTGTGTTTCACTATTTCATAGTGATACTAGCAGGCACTGAGGAAGGGAGTGTGTAGCGAGCAAACACTGTGACATCGCGGAATTATTCGGTAAAGTGTTTTAGCTGTGCATAAATTTTTTATTGACAAAACAAAATGGCACACCTTCTTTTCGTGCTTCATCGCTAATTTATTTTCTGGTTTTTGTTGACTGACGAGATGTAGGCGAACCAGCTGAGGGTGTTTGTCGGCTTCAACATGAATTTGCATCTATGTTGTTGTTGATCGACTTGTCATATCACTTCATCTGTCGTGAAGTGCAGGAAGAGAATGAGGAAGCGGTGGGGAGCTAAATCAGGGGGATAGCCGTTCAGATCGGACCGACTTTGTCCACTCGCAGTATGGGAAGGAAGCAACGCAGCTTAGGAACCCAACATGCAAAGCCCTATCAACGCAATCCCGTAATAGTAGCTTTCACTCGATGACAGGAATCCTCTTTGACAGCCCCTTCAAGTGATAACAGAACTCTTCAAGGGAACAACCATTCCCAGTAGATTCTCCAACTTCTCTCTTCTTGTAACCTCGGCATGTCTGTTGTAAGTTTAATAAATTTCTTGTGCCTTACAGGTTGTTCGGTGGAACTTTTATTAATGGCCTAACGTTTCGACTGAATCGTCGTCTTCAGAGGCCGTCGGTTCCACCCTTTGAGCGGAAAGGTCCGCTGCCACACAGAGCGCTAGTCAGTTTGAACTCAGATTTTAGTTTAGTCAGTTAAAACTTAAAAAATTCTCAGTAGAGTTTAGGTGAATACCACGAAGGAGCGGACCCTGATAGAGAACTGGTCACTTCTCCAATACTCTTCACTTTAGACGTTTTGCTCTGAGAGGATGTAAGATGGAATCTGTGGAACCAAAAATTGTGACGCTTAGCCCTTGTCCAGTAATTCCTGGTTTGAATTGAAGAACAGATTTCTTTAGCTGTAATCGGTGTCGGCACACGTGACCTGACCCTAAACTGGCCGTTATTCGAAATGATGGGCAAAACGTGGAAAACGGGCACATTATGGTGTTCTGCCCAAAGTTTAGTGCTATACTCATTGAACTGCGAGGTCAAGAGTTATTTATATGGTTGCGCAGCTGTAACGGGTTCTACAGCAGATCTTCACTGACAATTCATCTACGGGATAATCGTTGCACATTTAGCGCATCAAGCGACAGCATTTGGGTCTGATTTGATTTTTATTAACATATGTACTGAAAAGAATCTCTGAGAACCAAGCACGAATATTCTCGTTCTTCCAAAGTGGCTCTGCCTACGCCCTTTTGAGATCATTACGAGCTGTAGATATTTTTGACCGAAATGTGCCACTCCGCTGATGAAATGGCAGACGCTGCAGAGACTCATTGAGCGCCATCCACCTCCGTGGAGGGTAATATATCCGTATTTTGGATCAGTTACCGGGTATCAGAGCTGCGCAGAGGATAGAAACATGTCGAACATCAACAGTAGCTCCTATGAATGGCTATAAAGGTCAATATGGGTTGTCACATACGCATGTCATCTTGTAACGCCGAATGGAAACCGACCCAACGAGTTGCGATTGACCATCGCCGATTGCGGTATTGATCCTGTGAAGGTATTTGGAAGTGTTTCAGGCTAACCAAAGTGGGACGGATGGAGAACAAACAGATGCGGCAGTAATCGCTCCTGTCGAGAGAAGCGGATACTCAGAAGGTAGATTTGCAAACACGAACAGTTGCTTATACGTTTCACTAATAAGCTTCAGAGGCAAAGGCTGTTAGTGTTGATTGGTCCTTGAATAACAACAAAGTGGACGAGTTCCCCAACGGATACGATGGTATGCTCTAACAACTCATAACAATAACTCAGAGCTATTTTAATTCCACTACTCTCCACTCAATACTTCTTTTATTTGTCTGTCTTTCAACTTTTCAAAGTTGTTGTTTCGTTTGATAAGCGAAGCCGCTGTGCAGTTTTTAATAACTTAATACTTAACCTTTGAAGGCCTTTCGGCACTTCCGACACGTCCACCTATCTCGACTTCTAACAGTCTGCTCACTAACCAGATAACAGAAGACCGTCCTAACCGGCTCGTCTTTACCGGCGTTCCACGAATTGTGCCGATATTTGTTACGACTTCGACGACGCCTGAAAGTACTACTACCTTGCAACACAGGAGATGTCCTGTTCAACCAGGTTGTTTTACTAACGATTTTTGTCTTCTTTAACATTGTTCTAATAGAATCCCTCCGGCTATATGTTGGGATTTTGGCAATGGCGATAAATAAAGTCTATAAATAAGTTCCACACTATCTTGATCAGTTTCGGCCTAGTGGTTTGCTGTGTTCTCGCGCTGAGCATGTCCCTGTTTGTTTCAAATCCGTAATGGGCTGAGGAGGACCCTAACGGTGCTGCCTTACGGGCTCGGACTGGGACATGGATAGCAGTTAGAGAGAGTTATTACAATGGGTAAAAACTGATAAGGGACACCGTTAGGGAAGAATGTTAAGGTCATCATCCTTCGCCTTAATGGTAAGGCATTCGCAATAGCAAATGGGCTGATATGTATTAACTTTGATGGTGGGTGGCCCTTAGCGATACTGACTGATAAGACCTGCTAACGATTAACACGTTGACGACCGCGCTATTTTTCGCTGTCTGGCGTGTGGGACCGCGCGCATTATTTTGACCGCGCGAGTGTGACATGACATCATGTCACACGGTCCCACGAGAACGAGAACTCCTTTTTCTCAGGAAGTGTGTATTTGTTATCTTTCTTGTGTGGTAGGTCTCCGATTATGCGATTTTGGCCATTTTAGCGATTCCTGTGATTTGATCATTATTCAAACATTTTTAGAAAAACTCGATAGCCCATCAACCGAAGCTTCTTTCCAGGGACCACGCCTTTTGTAACAATGCCTAAGTATGGCGCATACATCACGTAAATAAGTTACCTAAAATGTTTGAAAACCAGCTTAAAAAAGACTGTGACATGACATCATGTCACACGGTCCCACGTGGCCGAAAGAGTGTGGTATGACATCATACCACACGGTCGTCAACGTGTTAAGAAATATTGAACATGACAACATCCCCTACGATCTCACTTCCTCCTCTGTTCTTCAGTGCCATTTTTAGAGCCAGAGGTTAAATATGGCTGGAACATTTTCCCCCATTTCCGGTACAACCGGTTAAAATTAATTTGACCGCTAAGGCTAAGCTAACTGGGGTTCCAAGGAAAGGGGGTTCTGTGAGGTTGGGAACAGAGTCAGCCTTCCATGGGTTGCATACAGAATCCGAGAATTTTTCACAAGTCTCATCAAAAATTGCTGGAATGAGAGGAAAGGTGTGGAGTTCTTGAATAAACGGCCCCTGCTTCCTAACACCCACTGTAGGATTTCATAAGTAGCGATCACTTTTTCCACCCACCTTTGGGGTATCTGCCTTACCCAATGCCGTTCCACTCACATGGATGACACATCAAGATCGGCGATCGTTGTCTTCTGGGATCCATTACTGTCTTCATCACTTGCCATTATCTCTATCACCCACTCTTTATGTTCCTATCGCTTTCATCACTTACTAGCTTGAATGCCTTGCGACTATAGCGAACAGGAGCCAGGAATCTCTGACCAAACACACATTCACACGCGCAGTGGACAGATTATGTACAACAGACTCTTTTAGGGTCCCGAGGACCTTAGAATTTCATTAGAATTATTTTGAGTTTTTTCACAGTCTCCCTTTTGCTTCTATATCCCTCTCCATGCGTTGCCGCACCCATATTTTCGCTTCACAATCTATCTGACATCTTAACACGTTGACGACAGCGTGACGCGGTAACGCGTCCCACTTTGCGCACCTCGTGGGACATTGTGACGCGGTAACGCGTCCCACCCAAGTCATCCCTTTTTCTTGCGCTTGCGCGACTTATTCCTAAGGTCTTTGTACTCATTCTAGGCATACATTAGCATACTTAAAAACCACATGGCTCACAGAAAGGCCAAATATTCTTTAGTTTGGCAGAGGTTTTCCAGAACTTACGGATATGTGTTCAGTAACATGTTGAAAAAGAATAATCGAAGCTAATACAAACCTATTCGTATGGGAAGATATGTGTTTTTACTGAAACAACCACGTCCAAATTAATTTTGGAACCACTAAAGGGAAAGTAAGTAAAATTTGCCTTTTCATGGCCTTAACACGTCATTTCGGTCGAACTTCCATTACTGTAACTCCCGATAAGTTAGACAGATCGAACATTATTGAAAACACTTCATCGCATCTAAGTATTGCGTATTTACAGCTCAAAATCCATGGATTTGGTGTGCGGCGGCGGCGCTCGCAAAATCGCTCTGGTCCCACGCGGTGCAAAAACCAAAACGCGCGATGTCGTCAACGTGTTAAACAAAGAAACCTTCCACTTATAACAAACAATACCTATTAGCAAAGATTTCGTGAGCGCTGGGAAATAGTTGTCCACTCCATCATTTCTTCCCTGGTCTGCTGTTTAACACTTCTTCACTGGCATATGGGTCGTGTTTTCTGCAAAAGCTGGTTCCCAGTAGAGAGCCACAACATTTTGAGATAACTGCGAGTATCTGATTTATTTCAAGGGACAACCCTGGCAGAGGTCATGTGAACATTTCCCTTCGGTTTGTTGGGTGGATCCCTAGAGGACAATCATTGATGTGGCGCTCCCGTGCATGGAAATGGTTCGACAAGGGTAATAGGGTCACGCCAATTTAGCTGCAGCAGCTGCAACCCAGCCCGTCCACAGTAGGCCCCCTTCTGTTGCGCTCTTTCGCCTTCATACTGTCCTGTAGACGCTCAGTCTCTCGCCGTCTTAGCACAGCCGCATTAGGAAGGTGAGTGAGCCCTCAACCTGAGCGTTTTCGACGGATTCTTTTCCTTTTTTCTTCACTGCCGGCCCATTTCGCACCAATACATTCACATTCGTGTGCAAGAACCACACCAGATTGATCCCGGGCGTGCCTTGAATAATATGTTACCACAATCAAATCCATTTGGACAAAACCTAACAGCAACCGTTTCCTATTTCCTAAGAGCAATTAGTTTGTCCCATCACTACTTCCGTTACCGAATGGGCACTTGCAGGTGGACAGGTGGATGCTATATCGACTGGCATACCTACGCACACAGATGTATCTACTGGGCGCCACATTAAATAGTGGTTTATATAAGGAAAAATTGAATGACTGCTATTCGTTAGCGGCATTAGCCACTTCATTTCAACCAGCATCCCGTTAGAAGCAGAGTCTCGGCAGTTTTGTTGGTAGCTAATGTTTTTGCGTCAGCTTCAAAGCATCTTTATGGAGGACGCTGAGTGAGAAGAGCGGACAAATTAGGAGAAGTGGCTGTTAAACGTGGGATGTGATGATTCATAAAGTTAAGCCCAATCCACCGAGGAGTATTGTGCGACACACGCGACGATGCGCGTCAACCAAACTGGTTGCTTCATGAAGGGATGTCCATCTGCTCATTGGATGTCGATGTGAAAGAGTTTCTGCAAACTATCCAATTTGGTCAATATTGTTATTTTTTTTGCAAAATCGAGCAAAATTTATAATGCTGTTTTCGTTTTTGCAGAAGTCCTAAGCAGACCAAACTCAGCATAATTTCCGAACCCTGAAATATTCGATTTGAGCTCTGTTCAAGCTTGCTTCTAGTTCTAACCCTACACTTTTCAAGCTGACGTTATTTTATTTTAGATTTATGTATTTTTGAATAGTTGCTTTCAGAATCAACAACGTTCGAGGAATCAGCGGCTTCGCCATCCCGAAATTTGTCGAGCACGGCAGCATCTGGACCACGAGAGATACCGTATCCACTTCCAAAGAGTGTTGATGGAGCAGTAACAGGTCACAAGAATTGCCCTCCTTGTGCAGTGCTCGCTGTGGCTCCTCATTCTACAGTGTTACCAGAAATTTCCCCTTCATCATCCCCAATAGAGTCGGCGCCATCTCCTGACTCTGTGTCTGCTCCTGTTCCACCACAGACCGCTGCACAACCCGACCCGTCTCCACCTGAGCCACCGGTCGAAGTGCAGCGTCCATCTGAGCCAGTGGTCGAAGTACCGCCACCTGAGCCAGCGGTTCAAGTGCAGCGTCCATCTGAGCCTGTGGTTGAACTACCGCCTCCAACGGAGCCAGCGGCCGAAGTACAGCGACCATCTGAGCCAGTCACCGAAGCACTTCCTCCACCTGAGCCGGCAGTAGAGGTGGCGCCGGCTGTCATGCCAACGTCTGACAAGCACGAATACTCTCTAGAATCATCACCTGCACATTCCACAGCAATTGAACCCTCACAATCATTACCAGAACAGTCGGCGCCATCTCCTGACAATGGATATGCTATTGCACCATCTACATCATCTGCTGCCCAACCTGCACCGCCTCCATCCGAACATGTGAACGAATTACCTGCTGCGATATCCACTTCCAACAAGAATGAGTACACAGAGGAGCAGTTGCCTGCAGTTGCACCAGCACCCACATCTGCCGCACCTTCTCGTGAGCAGTTCGTCTTATGGCTCCTCTACGACATGGCACGTCAGGAGATCACTCAGAGCCAGCAGCTCTGGGAATTGGCGCCGATATGGGACTGACGGACGGAAGCAACCTCAAACGAAGAATTAAAGTAAGAGGGCTGCTTCCCTTTTTTGATTATCAGGAAAGATAAGGCTTCAGGCATAGCTAAACGGCCATGAAAATGCTATTTTGTGCTATGCTTGAAGAAACTTTGAGGAGGGTCGTAATTTACTCGAAGAAAAGAAAAGAAGTCATCACGAAAGAGTGACGAAGTCAATAAGTGAGCCATACCAAAACCATAAGTCAAAATACACGGTTGTTTTTTTTTGAATACTGAGCAAAATTTCTTATGCATATTCAGTGCTGAGTCACATAATGAGTCTTGTCTCATGAGGTAGAGGTACGAATGGGAGTCCCATTTGAGGTTGGAGAAGGTAAAAAGGCCTAACAAGGTACGGGTGGGGGTGGGGTTGTGTTCATGGTTTTGTGGAGGCTGATTTAGTCGTTGTGGAAGAGGGTTTGTTTTTTGGCGAGTACTAAACTTTATGCAAGACGCGTCAAGGAAAAATTGCAGGATTTGCCGTTTTTGGGACAATATTTAACGGCCCCTCACACTCGCCTGGACTTAGACGGCTGGTTTTGCAGAAAAAGCGGAGCGGAAGGGGGATGTGAACGAAAAAATTCGGGTGATCTCAGAATAAATAATCGTTGGAGTAGCATCATGGGAGGGGGGAAGGTAATGGTCGGGTGTGGTAGGTGAGTCGTATTCTATCGGGCGGAGGTGGGTTGTGCCGAATTCCGGGTGATCTCAGATCAAATATCGTGGAAGTAGCTATGGTGGGGGGGAAGGTAATGGTCGGGTGTGGTAGGTGAGTCGTATTGGGGGAAAGCTGATGGTCGCGTGATGGGATGGACCCTGCTTATGGTCAGTCCCACTTGGTAAATGTCCTGCTTGTTATTTAATAAACTACTGATCTTGAATTTTGTCTTTATTGAAGAAACATTTTTGCAATAATCTTTGCATGGCATGCAAGCCTGCTATGAAATATCCCAAAATTCTCTTCCCTACATTCCCTACTCCCAGTCTTTTTTTATTAGACCTCTTCCCAGCGAGTGTTAAAATCCTGCGATGTTTCGCAAGATAACTGCTCTTGGAATCCGGTAGGTATATGACTCGTTGAAAAGCTTATGCCATGAGTTTTTGGTCAGTTTGAAAAGTTCCGGTGCCTTGTCTATCTTGGCTCATCTAACAAGGGAGGTCTTTCAGGGCAAGCCGCGCTTTTTGGAAACGGTTTTTGCATATTGTAGGGACGCATGTATGGACCACAAAACCATGTTTCGTTTTCGCTGAACGGTTTTAGTAGTACAAAAAAGTGGTGAATGCTTGATGGTTCGATCCCCCGCGGCGACTAAATTTTGCAATCAAGGTTGGCGGCCACTTGTTGGCTTCAAAATGGTCCTGACGATGAATTGACATCTGATTTTGACATTTAGCGCGATTTGGCACCAAACCGTAGGCGCCAACCCAAATGCAAAATTTAGTCGCCACGGGGGATCGAACCATTAACAGTACCTTATGCTTCTTTTTTGGTACTGCTATAACCGTTCAGCGAAAATGAAACATGGTTTTGTGTTCCCTACATGCGTCCCTACAATATGCAAAAAACCGTTTTGAAAAAGCGTGGCCTTGCCTGAAAGACCTCCCTTGTAAGGCTAAGACGTTGATGAAGGGAGGTATGACCTAAGCAACCCTTCAGCGTTATTCGGATACGTTCTCACGAATCTTTAGCGACTGGGTAACCAAGTTGTATAAGTGCTTAGTAAGTTTCTGCGGAGTTGTGTGGAGGGGCTCAGTATAGTTGGACAGCCCCATATTCACATAACTCAATGCTGCTGAGCTCCGATGGTTTCGACCATTTTCCTTTCGAACGTATAGTTCAGGTTTATTAAAGCACTTCGAGATCCACTACCAATGCACAATTGTTTCAGTTGCACCAGCTCCTGCACCAGCTCCTGCACCAGCTCCTGCACCAGCTCCTGCACCAGCTCCTGCACCAGCTCCTGCACCAGCTCCTGCACCAGCTCCTGCACCAGCTTCCTGCACCAGTCCCTGCACCAGCCCTGCACCAGCCCCTGCACCAGCCTCTGTATCGCAGCCAGAACCAGCACCTCCTCTCCCTTCACCACCTCAAACAGCACTGCAGCGTCCATCTGAGCCAGTGGTCGAAGTACCGCCACCTGAGCCAGCGGTTCAAGTGCAGCGTCCATCTGAGCCTGTGGTTGAACTACCGCCTCCAACGGAGCCAGCGGCCGAAGTACAGCGACCATCTGAGCCAGTCACCGAAGCACTTCCTCCACCTGAGCCGGCAGTAGAGGTGGCGCCGGCTGTCATGCCAACGTCTGACAAGCACGAATACTCTCTAGAATCATCACCTGCACATTCCACAGCAATTGAACCCTCACAATCATTACCAGAACAGTCGGCGCCATCTCCTGACAATGGATATGCTATTGCACCATCTACATCATCTGCTGCCCAACCTGCACCGCCTCCATCCGAACATGTGAACGAATTACCTGCTGCGATATCCACGCCAACAAAAATGAGTACACAGAGGAGCAGTTGCCTGCAGTTGCACCAGCACCCACATCTGCCGCACCTCTTGTGGCAGTTCCGTCTGCTCCTTCACCGGACCTTGGGCACGCTTCGGAGCATCCACCAGAGCCAGCAGCATCGGAAATTGGCACCGCATATGGGACTGACGGGGAAGCAACCTCAAACGAAGAAATAAGTAAGAGCCTGTTCCCCTTTTATTGATATCAGGAAAGATAAGGCTTCAGGCATAGCTAAACGGCCATGAAAATGCTATTTTGTGCTATGCTTGAAGAAACTTTGAGGAGGGTCGTAATTTACTCGAAGAAAAGAAAAGAAGTCATCACGAAAGAGTGACGAAGTCAATAAGTGAGCCATACCAAAACCATAAGTCAAAATAACACGGTTGTTTTTTTTGAATACTGAGCAAAATTTCTTATGCATATTCAGTGCTGAATCACATAATGAGTCTTGTCTCATGAGGTAGAGGTACGAATGGGAGTCCCATTTGAGGTTGGAGAAGGTAAAAAGGCCTAACAAGGTACGGGTGGGGGTGGGGTTGTGTTCATGGTTTTGTGGAGGCTGATTTAGTCGTTGTGGAAGAGGGTTTGTTTTTTGGCGAGTACTAAACTTTATGCAAGACGCGTCAAGGAAAAATTGCAGGATTTGCCGTTTTTGGGACATATTTTACGCCCCTCCACCCTGCCTTGACGGCTGTTTTGCAGAAAAAGCGGGCGGAGGTGGGTTGTGCCGAATTCCGGGTGATCTCAGATCAAATATCGTGGAAGTAGCTATGGGGGGGGGGAAGGTAATGGTCGGGTGTGGTAGGTGAGTCGTATTCTATCGGGCGGAGGTGGGTTGTGCCGAATTCCGGGTGATCTCAGATCAAATATCGTGGAAGTAGCTATGGTGGGGAAGGTAATGGTCGGGTGTGGTAGGTGAGTCGTATTCTATCGGGCGGAGGGGGTTGTGCCGAATTCCGGGTGATCTCA